GACTTGTTGGATGGAAAGTAACGACCATCTGCTTAGAATAAAGTCAATTTGAGGATGGCACACGACTTTACTTTACTTACCCACGGCTAACTCAAATCTGTTTTCAGTTACTTGAACGACAAGAAAGTCTTTAAGACAAAGACTATATAAACTGAAAACAGATTGTTGACTGAACTTACCCACGGCTTATAGACATAGACACTATCTGTTAAAAAAGTATTTTATTTAGACTGAACTTACTCTTGACTGTAAGTACTACTTACCCACGGCTTATAAGAGTCTTTAAAGACAAAGACAATGTCGGTTAAAAGAAATTGAGAGAGTAAACCTGATAACTCAAGTGTATATAATGATGATGGTCCAGAGAAGAAATTGAGTGAAGCAGAGGTGGTTGACGAAGTGATTCAACAGTCTCAGGTACCTACATCTTTCTGGGAATATAGACCAAGAGATATGATGTTAGGAGCTGATGGCAGGGAATTAGTTGTTGAGGATCGAATGCTAGAGATAGAAGTTTTTGAGAAGAAGCTCTCTGATGATTGATGTTCACGTTGGTTTTGGCTTTGGTGACTGGGTTGAATGGTTTCAAAGGACAACATATGCCCGCCCATGAGAGGTGTCTTGCACACAATGTACTCGATCAAATTCTTCTGGGACTTGGGAAGAGAGAAGCTACAAAATGTGCAGACAGATAAAAATACAGAAATCATGGAGGTTTAAGTTCAAATGTATGCCGGGTTTGAGTTGGAAACTTACATTGGTAGATAACAACTTCTGGATTGCAGTGGAATCAATTGTAGTGGCTGAGACAGTACAGAGATTGTCAGCACACATGAATGCTCGAGGAATGAGGGAACGTGAGTTTTGGAACTTGGTGGTGCGACTTATGATTGAGGATAATAGCGGTGGTATGCTCCAACAAAACATACCTTTTTCATGGAGCAGTGGTGTGCAACAGAAAATTTTACGAGTTCTGCATTATTAGGGAGGAATGCGTTCGAAGCAGAGGAGACAAAACGTTGTGAGCTGGTTGTGGTATGGAAAGATGGCGCCACTGTTTTAATAGATATTAAGAGGTGTCAAGTCTCCAAGCAACAAAATTCTCTTAACCCTTGGAGATACAGTTTCAGAGACAGAGCAGAGGCAAAGACACTGAAGTTGTGGATCTTATTTCTCCAAGTGAAACATAAGTGGAGATGTAAGCCAATTCAATTTTTTGGGGGATTGAAGTCTAAGAATGACACTGCTCGTGTACAAAGGGCGGCGTTTGTTGTGTTTAATGAGATGGCTAAAAGAAGGGTACATGGATTGATAGATGTGCTGTTGCTGAAGAGACCAGTTGATCAAGTGAGAACGTGTTGCAAGTCTCGGTACTTCAAGTATAATATGAGCAGCTTTCAGGGGAAGTGCATTTACGCACTAAAAAGAAAAAGCCGAAGTGGTTCAAGTCATGGGATCACTATAGTGGACAAAGGATGATTATCAAAGCAATTCATATTGTTCTTTTTGGCATTGCCACACTCTGTCTGCAATGGAGAGGTGATTTAGGGGACCTGCAATAGCTCTTTTGTGGTGATAACATGTTCACCGTGAAGCATAAATGGAGATATAAGCAACCATGTTTGGTTTCAGATGGGACTTTTTGTGCAGACAGTGTTGTCTTCTTCTGCTGTACAGTTGCTGGGGTTATGTTGCAGGAAGTGACATGTTCAGTTGAGTATCCATGAACCTCTTCAGGTGAAAACAATGAGGCATAAAATTGTAGTAAGATCGTTGGCTGCATTGGGAGGACGTTTGTGTGTCAGTTTTGGTTTTCTGTGTGAAGAGGGTTGCATGGGAATAATAAATACAGTGCCACTGCGGATGCTATTCTTGGGACAAGGTCTGCACTGGATTTTGAATGGGGAAGCTACACATACAAACAGAGACAAGTTATTGTTTTCAATTAACATATATTGGTTTCTGGTTCAAGAGAACATATACATAAAAATGCCTGCTAAGGGAAGAAAAGGAACATCTCAGAGATATTTTACAATGGACAAGAGCAGTGAAAAAGCTGTTTTCTTGTGGAAACTTTCATGCAAAGAGACATACGTGGTGATGGAGTCGGACGTTCTCACTCTCATGCAGGAGTATAATACACAGCTTGTGATCAAATTTACTCGTGTTCGGACGGATTGTATGATATCAGTCTTCATCGTGGTTTCCGAGTTATGCAACAGCGGCAGCAAAGCAAATGTCTGAAATCATCGTGATTGAAACCTCACTGTGGTGTTGCAACATCTTCATTATATGAATCTATGTCATGTCAGCTTGCTTGAGGGCAAGCTGAGTCTTCAGAAGGGGGGTATTGATATGATACAAGGCGCGTGGGAAGGAGCTGGTACCTGCACAATAAGAAGATAAGGCAGTTACATTGAGGAGAGGAGTATAAATAAGGGAGATGATTGTTATTGAGAGTTAGTTAGTTGGTTGGCCTCTTGTGGCTAGAGGGCTTGCTTCTCGAGAGCGAGCAAGATAGCTTTCTTGTAATCCTTGTGTACTCCTCTGTTCTTGATAGAAACCCATCTGAGTTCTATCAGTATACAACAATCATACTGTTGTTGAAAGTTACAAAGAAAACGAAGAAATGCAAGCATAAGCAGGAGCAAGAGAAGATGAGGGAGGAAGGAAGGAAATAGAATTTTGACGAAACTTGCAAAGTGGAAGAAACGTAGGTTCAAACAAATGTACACCAAGCTGAAGAAAGTGATATCAAGCTGAAGATCTTGCTAGAAGTAAGGGGCTATAGAAGCTCGTATGGCTGTGAGAGTATTTACGGGAGTGACAAACTGATGCAGCTAAGCTTTCTTGTGAAGCGGAATAAGAAGGTGTCGTTTGCTTCCGCCACAAGTAGGAGAGCAGCACCGAAGTTTAATTGTGTGGCTGTGGAAGTGATATGGAAACATCTTTCGTCAAAACAGAAGACGAGCCAAGTCTAGAAGGAAGCAGAATGAGAAATGGTATAAATGGAGGAGTGAATAAAAACCAGGAAATGAAAACGTTCTCAACTCTCAGACTCGTGGGAAGAGAGGATTCGAAAGTGAGAAGAACATGATGGTGAAAGAATGTAAAAGAATGATTTGTGGTTGTGTCTTGAAGATGAAGATTCTGCCGGAGATTGCAAAATGTTCAAGAGCTACTTTATTGTCATGATGTGTAGTGGTTGAAGACAGGATCTGGGAGTTGGTTTCTAAACACAATGTCTTTAGGACAGTGTGCGGAGAAGTCACGTACATGAATGTGAAGCTGCTTCTCTCTACAGTTCTAGCAAATCAATTTGGAGGGACTCTCAGTCTCAGCAGGAGTAGAAACGGATCTGGAGCTGCAGGAGAACAAGGACCGTGTGGATAACAATGCGTTATGTCTGTTGGAAAGGCTGTTTCGGCCAGGAATTATGGAAATGAGGAAAGAGGTGTACCAACAGTCAAGCCTTGGCTTCACAGGATGCTGGTTAGGGTACTAATCTGGAGTACTGGGGAAGACCGATTTTAATAAAGGCCAATGAGGTAGGGAAACATGCAAATAATACTAGCAGACCAACCCCATTTGCAGAGATACTTCAAGTTTCAATTGGTGAGGTTTTGAGCAGAGAAGATGGACAATATTATGATCACGTCTCCAAGTCTACGGACCGCCAATTGGGATCTCCTAAGCTGAAGTGGTGGCTTGATATATTGATGCAATTCTCAGGTTTTTAACAAGTCTGAAACAATGCCACTGCTTGAAGTTGAACCATGGAGGAAGAAACTAAGGAATGGTTTAAGAAGGTGAAGCTGGCGTGTTTTCATAGAAGCAAGGAACAATCACAGTGACCACTGCTCTAGTCATGTGACATTTAACCTTAAGACTAAACTAGTATATAACGAGAGGCAAGAACTAGAGAAAGCTTTATCAAAGAGTCCGTGTTCAAAAACTCGGCCGAATTACCGATTAATCGGCCGAGTACTCGCTAGACGTGTCCTTACCGTAGCGAAAAGGCTCTGTTCGGTTAGCTAGGCGGTCAACGCGTTTTTGCCGAGCTTGACCGATTAATAACAAAAGTCGACGTATAATTGAACGGAACGATTAGATTGATTTGGGCCGATTATACCACTTTTACTTAGAAAACGCAGCCCAAAGATATTTCCTTTTATTATATACACACTAAAAGGATCTTTTCTTCTTTTATTATACTAAGTTGGGATTTTGTTTCTGCAAGAAACCCTAATGTATAATTGAATTGGCCAATTAGATTGATCTCTCTTTTCTTTTACTCGACATCAATTAGTTTTTGGGTTCTTGTTTTGTCACGAGCTTTGCATTAATCTTTGGCCTTCTGTTAATTTAAGGAAGTTCGTCGTATATGTTCGTCATGTGTTTGTGACTTTGTGTTCGTCATACGTATGTACATATTCGTTATGTGCCGAGTTTACAGCTGCTAAAAGACATTTGATTTTGTTTATTTTTGATTTCAAAGTCAAGCTGACATTGTTTTTTGCATACAAAAACTATTCCATTCTAATACATTTATATTATATATAATTTAAATATTATATTAAAATAAAATAATAATAAAATTAATCTCCGCGTATACCCCGATTAATCCCCGATTTTTTGTTAAGTCGCTAGGCCCGGGGTTGCCGCCCGACTAGCGCCTAGCGTAATTTCGAACCTTGCAAAGAGTTGATCAAATCATATGTATGTTCATGGAGAGAGGAGAGACTATAAAATCTTTTAGACCATATGTGGTCAAGCAAAAGAGAAACTTGCAAAATGTGTGCACTCAACCCCCTCGTATCTCTGCAATGTCAGGTTGATATTTTTTTTTATGATTCTCAGCTACGTATGATCTCTTGACATTTCGGGTTAAAGTCACATGTCTGCTGTGTACTGCAAACCCCTTGCTTAAATGTCTTTCCATCCCTATTATGAAGTTTCTGAAAGAATATTCTGTGAAAGAGGTGAAAGCATTTGTATGATATATAACATAATTGGAATAATGCTAAGAAACAAAGAATTCTAATGAAATGGTTTAACACAGTTCATAAAGAAACAAAAAGGCTCAATGGCTTATCAACTAGAAAGAATGTCTGAATATGTTGTAAATTAGCATATGAGGTCCCCACTATACTGAAACATTGGTGTAACTGACCTATCTGTCGCTCTAGTTTACAAACATATCTCAATGCAAAACAACAGAGCAGATGTGGATGTAAGATTTCGAAGGAAGAGAGACACACTGCAGATGTTGGTCAGGTTTCTCAAGATAGCTCAAGCTTGGCACAGCCTGCTCTTCATTTTCTTAAGAACAGAATAATCTATCAGCAGTTACACAAGTAAAGAATCCAAACAGTGCAGACCTTCATGACTCCGCAGAGATGTTTTTTTTTTTACTGAGGGTTCCTATCCACCAACATATTCAGAATCTGCCATGTATGCTTCAAACTCTTGCAGTTAACATGTACAACTATGGCTACATAATGATGACTGAGTCACACTCATAACGGGAGATAACGCTGCGCTACCTCATCTACAGATTATGAAGCATTGGCAGTATCTTTTATCACGTCTCATGGGGCACAGTCTAAGCACAACACCGTCGTAAGTAACCATCAATGCAAAGGCAGAAACAACATTAACCTTTCGATCATCTGCATGTTGATAAGGACACTGAACAAATCAAAACAAACATAAAATTCTTTACGCAACTTTAGTTGCATCTAAAACCGATTGAGTCAGATGCGCTTTTGGAACATGTAGATACCCATGTTTCAGCATCTTTCCCATAACTCTCTCAGCATTCAACTCCATCCCATGACTTCTATAAGCCTTAACCATAATTGCAAACGTTTTAGTCACAATCCCATAATTAGTCTCACCCATCTCATTTACAACACCCTCCATTTCCTCAAAGCGTTTCTGGGACCCAAACATCATAATCTTACAATGATAGAGAGATCTGCATAGTTTCCATCCAGCAGACTCTGCACGCTTGACGAAATTAACAAGACTGTCTACTTCATTACATCTGAAGTAAGCTGCAGTGATTGCCCTCATAATACTCGATTTATTAACACATGTGTTGTGCTCAAACGCCTCGTCGATTCTCCTCTCCATTGATTCAAGAATGTCTTCTTGAGCATATAATCGAATCAAAAGCACATTCAACCAAGGATAATACTCCTCCCCAGAGAGAAGAGTCAATAAACTCTCAATCTTTTCCACTCTACCTTCAACAGCTTTCTTACAATACGAACATATCATGGCTCTAACCAAAGCACCTCTGTTTACACCAACCTGATCTTTAACCGATTCATACATGTCTTCCATCTTATTCAAATCTCCTGAGTTTGCATACCCACGAAGCATCAGCAGACACGTCTCGGTGTCAGGCTCCACTGAACCCACCTTCATTTCTCGAAAAGTAGATTCCATTTTACTCCACTCCCAGGCTGTCACGTAACCAGCAATCATACAGTTGTAAGTGCTCAAATTCGGAAAAATCTTTAGTTTCTGCATCTCTTCAAAAGCTGCTTCCATATTCTTCACCATCAGAAGTCTACCGTACACAGATATAAGAATATTATAGGTCACAACTGTCGGAGAACAATGTGTTTGCCTCGTGAAATCTCTGAAAAGTGATTGACATTCCTCGGCGAGGCCGTTGTACATGTAAGCACTCATCAAAGCATTGTAAACTGAAGCGGTCTGGCTTCGTTTCTTAGCTGCCTCATTGAATAGAAAGACCGCAAAGCTAATGTCTCTAGCTCGACCAGCGATCTTGATTCCTTTTGCATACTCCTCAGTTGACAAAGGGATACAAGAATCAAATTGTCTTCTTCTCCACTCTAAAACCTGAAACAGAACTCAAGACTTAGATGCCTGGACCAATCTAATCTCTAACATTAACACATTGATGTCTTGTTCTTACAAACCAATCGATCTAATAATGAAATACTAAGAAACAGGACAGATGCAAGATTCGAACTTTAAGAAAAATAACAGAAGACAAACTGAGGACATTGACATAAAAACTAAAACCAATCCAATCTATAATCTTATGGCTTTAACTCATTGATGTCTTGTTCTTACACAACAAATCAATCGAATATTGAAATACTAAGAAACAGGGCAGATGCAAGATTCGAACTTTATGGGAATATAACAAAAACAAACTCAGGACATTGACATAAAAACCAAATACTTAGATACCTAAATCAATCTAATCTATAACGTTATGGTTCTGTCTTTACACACCAAATTTAAGACAGTGCAGATTGCAAGATTCGAACTTTCGATTAAAAACACACACAAAAAAGAAGAAATGTTAAACCTGAAGAGCCAAGTAAGGAAGAGGAAAGAGTTGATCCATAAGCTCGACGATACCAGCTCCATCACGGTAGCTTCTAAACAGCCACTGCCCTTTCTGATCCAAAACGCTCTCGAACCTCTCTTTACTGTTACCCGTCGCTAGAAGCTCGTTTTTTAAGATCGAAACCCTTTGGACCAGATCAGTGTGGTGAGCTGGCAAGGCGGTGACGCGGGTGAATTTGCCGATGAATTGACCACTGAGTTTGATAAATTTCGATGTCATGGGGTAAAGGTTTCGCCTTTTGAAGCAGAAGCTCCGGTTGAATTGATGGGGAAGGATCGGATCTGAGATTATCTTAGGATCTGCAGAAAACCCCCCCAAATTAGGGTTTAGGGTAGGCGAAGAAGAAGAAGGATTCGCACGTGTGAGAACTAAATGGATCAAATAGTGTTTGGGCCTTATGGGCCACAGACTCAAAAGTATGGCATTGGCTTCCGAAGAGTCAAATCGATACAAACCAAAAGAAAATTGAAACTGAAACTGAAACCGGACTATAATAATTCACTAATATCTGACTAATTTATTATTTGAAATATCTGAACTGAATGAGACAAAATTAAGAATGAAACTGGAATCCAAATATATGTATGAAATGTAATGTTTATACTAAAATATTTAAAATTAAATACATAATAACCAAATATCTATAAATATAATTTATAGATTTATTTTAATTTATTTGATATTTTAACTCAAACTATCCAGATTATGTAGGTAACAAAAGATATTACTATATATATTTAGAGGACATCATGAGGCTCAGTAAAATAAAGATGATGTAGTGGTTAATACATTTCATTTAGAGGATGATGTAGTGGTTATTACATCTGATTTAGAGATCCTGAATTTGAACTTGAAAGTAGCATCACATTTTCAGTTACATGAACAAACAATCCTTCCGGTGTCTGAGGTTATAAGTCCTCTCAAACTCTAATTCATGTCATGTTTTAGACATTCCTTTTTGGTTGAATGTCTCCCAAATGTAGTAGTGTATTCTGGATTATTCTTTGTGTGTGTACACGTGTGAGCAGGATTAACGGCAAAACTCCATTGAAATTTCTAAAAGAAAAGAAATATTAATATTTAATTATCTTAGTTTTTTAAACATGTTGAAACGTTATGTGAAGGATAACTCAAAGTTGTGAACCAGTTTGAGAAGGTATTAAATGAGAATTTTTGTGTTATTATTTCTCTTAATTTGTCAATTTTCACTTATATAAAATATTGAGAACTCCTTTAGTATCCCCACGTTAGAGGTGTTCTTATGTTGCAAATGTTTTTGCTGTTGAAATCAAGTCAGAGATTATGTGCATGTTTAGATTCAAGCAGACTTTGATCAAAACATATCCCATTCAGCTGTAGAGAGAGAGATTGAAGCATCTGAGACTGTTGTGGATCAAAAAGTGTATTTAAACCCACAAAAAAATGTCGGCATTTACTGGTAAAGTTACTCATATATACACTGTTTCTCTTCAAACTCAAGGTTTTGCAACTAGCCTAGGTGGCGTCAAAATCGAAAATGGCTATGCGGAAGCGAAGTATTTGAATGTGTGATAACCGTATAATTATTATATAAATATGCATTTTAAACAAAATTACAATCCATTTGTTCGGTATGAGAGAAACAACAAGGAAAATGAAGATATCGAAAAGAGTACGTACTAGCACAGAATGGGATGTGGAACGATACATGTTGCGTTGGTGAGACCAGAAGCATTATAGTTATTGAGCAAATTGTTCTCCTACGTACGCTCACCGGCCTCTTTGTGATATAAATTTTAAGTACTTATTAAATTAGTGCTTGTTGAACACAACCAATTAAGCAACATCGAAAACTAATTTACTAATTTCGTTGTGTACTAGTTTACAAAAAAAAATTCGTTGTATACACATATCCAAGCAACGGTCAGTTCGTATTTGTACTTGTCGATAGTCATCAATTTCGTTATGAAAAACAATCATAGTAAAATACTATTATTTTGCTACGATTTGAAAACTTAGTAGTTTCTTGTAATGTATATGTTACGTACATATATACATAAATTCCACATATGTACTTACAAATAGGGAAAGACGTAGTGGTGCTGAATGATTCAGATCATCTGATGCTCGACTATAGCAGGTTAATCAAGCACTTAGCCATCAAGCACTTAGCCACAAAATCGGTTGTTTTGTGAGCCAAGTCCTGCACCAAAAATTAGCCCCTTTGATCAATGATTATCCACGGTCATTATTGGCTAACAGGTAACAGCATTTCAAGAAATGAACAATGGTCTACACTTTTATATGTTCCTTTTCAAAAAACTCATTTCCTAATATACCTCACATTTGAGTCATATATATATATATATATATATATATATATATATATATATATATATATATTAAGTAACTTAAATTTGTTGTAAGTGGTCCTAATAGGTAGGGTGATGACAAGAGGCTGAACAACAGGAAGATGAAAACTTCATCTAAAAAAAGTAAGATGGATGTATTACATAAATAAATAAATAAATATATATATATATATCATTATAAATATTAAATATTTTTCATATAGATAGTATAAAATCTCAAATGTTATATTTTCTATCAAATGGTTATTACCTACTACTGCGTTAATCTAAACTATGAATCACAATTTAAAATTTATACAAATTATTGTTTTATAAATATGTTCACTTAATTCATAAACATAACACCATTTAAAGGATTTTTTAGAAGATGATGGGGTAAATAATTTCTCTTTAGCTATAAATACTATAAATAAATAATTAAATATCGGTTATATAATATTTTATAAATTAATATATATCAAAGCAAACGCACCCCAATAGTTATTTACCATATGATTTATCAGAAATCAGAATTGTAACTCAGAAATCAGAATTGTAACTCCCTATGATTTTTCATACTTTGTGCTTGATGGGTTCAATTAATGGAAGGACTAGAATAAAAAGAACCATAATCTATTCATTTCCATGGGTGATCTCAATCCAACTAGGTCAGTCTCTTGTATTTGTAAACGTAAAAAGTATGACTCATACATATACGTAATTTAGTCTATTAGTCTTACATAGGGTTAGTCTGTTACGAGTTGAGAAATTAGTTAGGAGTAGAGTAACATAGATACACAAATGTACTTACAAATTGGGAAAATCATTGTTGTGCTGAATCTTCTCATCATCTGATGCTCGACTACAAAGGTTGATCAAATACTACGCCAATAGATCAACTGATTTATGAGTCAAGTCTACTCCACAAATTATATATCATCTTTGATCAATGAACATCATCTGCCACTTTTAGATCCATAACCATTGTATTTCTTTCTCAGATTCTAAGTATGAGAGTCCAACTATTTTTAACACTGTGTGATATATACTAATTTGCTGTAAGTGGTCCTAAGAGGCACAGAGAGACACGACAAAAAGCTGAGCGAAGGAAGATAAGAATTGTCTTACATATAAATAATATATTATGCATCATTGTATGCATGTAATTGACACAAATATTGTGTTGTGTACATAATATAATATTATTTCATCATTCATAAGTGACACACGATACATTAATATTATTAGTACTTAGAGCTAGCTAAATCTCTCAACATTGCAGACTCAGAAATGTTGTATATGTGATACATACTAAAGGCATGCTTAGGACATGGAACTAGTGCTTCAGCTAAATAGATATGTGTGTGTGTGGTTCTATAACAAGAAGTACAATTACTAGTACTGAAGTAACTGGCTGCTATTTAAGTTTATAAATAGCATATATATATACGGCAAAATGCACATGATCAAGCCGCTGGAGCCACGTCACCGTCATCGTCATCATCGTCTCCTCCGCTCTCTTGGCCAACAGTTTGTATGTAAGGAACAGGCCGAGTCTGAGTTGGCTCGTATTGTCTGCCTTCTGCTTTGTTGTAACTCATCACTGCCATTTTTAAAATAAGGGTTTTGTGTGTTTCTGGTTTTTTACTAGTGGATTTTTAGTATTGGTTGCAGGTATATAGAGCTCATGAACTGCCCTCAATTTATAGCGTTTCTAGGTTAGCCTTTGGGGTTTCATCTTTTATATATTCTCAAGAATAATCAAATACAGCGACACTGAGGCATTTTGTGGGGTTGTATTTGAACGATTTAGAAAAGAAATATATATTCACACGTGATTACGAGATTCTAGTATTGTTCAATCTAATTATTCAATATGGTGGATTTCAAGTTAATTTTTAGGTTTTATAATCTGATGTTATTCAATGATTCATTTATAATCTTTTATAGAAATCTAGTGTTATTGACTTATTGGTTATTGTATTTAAAATACAATTATTAAAAGATTTTGAAATCTAGTGTTATTGATTTTTATATTTACAAGTCTTTCACTTAAAGAATTTAAAATCTATAGTTCTTCAATCAAAGATTTGAATATAACATTTAAAATATTGTGTTATTCAAATTGATAGATTCTTATAACTCATTTGATTTGAAAAGATTTTAAATGAATTTGGAGATACTTTCTTGTGTAAAATATATCATCCAAAATCTAACCTTTTACCTACACATTTCAAAAGCATTTTTGTTATTATTATAGCAAATGAAAAAAGCGTGCCTTTACTAACTATTATTGTTCATCAAGCACTAATCCAGATCTCTCATGTTTCTTCATCTATCTCAAGCACTTTTCATCCATCCAAATCCATATGTGTCCTTTTGGCAATTATATATATTTTGCTCACATGTATCATTTGAATTTCTTTAATATATACATAAAATTCTAATGGTATGCTTTTTATTAAGAAAAAGAATTGGAATTAAAATCCATTCCGATTCTATCTAGTAGAAATTCAAATGATACATATCCCTTCGATTTTAGTTTTACATTAACGTGGAGGTAAAATGTAAACAAAACACATATCCTAAACTATCAAATGAATCAAAAAAATTAAAAAATCTGAGCAATTTTAAACTATTAGAACTGATTTCAACTTATGTAACCAATAACACCCTGTAAAAATCATAATTTACTAGACTATACTTTGAAAATGTAGTCAACCCCACTGTATCAAAGATTATGGACCCAATCCTCTAATTACATATATTTTCTTACTCACGCTGACTTGAGTATTGATATGACGTCAATGTGCGTCTATAATCAAAGACAAACATGTTTTGCTGACAAAAAATATTGGCATAATTTATATATAATCAAGGCACCAGTCGTGTACCACATTGAATTGCTTATAAGCATGCTTAGACATAAGACAAGTAAAGTACCGAATGAAAGAAAGAAGAAAACATATTCTAGTGGTAACTTTAT